TTATGCAATCCCAGAGGAGTTTGCTGCTTCCCTTTTTAATTCGTTCCATACTGGTTGCTGGTTTTTAAAGCAGTGCCCAGCTTACTCTTTCCTAAAGGCAACCCAGGGCTCCTTGTTCTGGCTCTGGCAGTGAATTCACTATAGCTTTGTTCCCAAATCCCTATGGGTTTATAGCGTGGTTATAATCATCTACTTCATGTTGAAATTTGCAATTACCTGCTCTAATTTTATTTTTCTTTTTTGAGCTTTCATTTAAATAGAAATGATAAAAATGACGATTTAAGCCACTCCAAAAAGATATTCTTGGCTATTTTCACTTGGCCAGCATTCACAGGTGAGCTGTGGTCCTCTAAGGCCAAGAAAATGCCTGGTATTATCTAGCCCTAAGCACAGACTGATGTCTTTGCAGACAGAAATCAATGTGTAGTAAATAGGACAAGGCTGGAACCAGGTTTTGATGTTCGTGTTGCGGTGAGAGTGAGCTATTGGGGTTGCAAAAGCCCTATATGGGACTTTTCTTTTCAGTCTCATGAGCCTTCTTTGCCCTCCAAGCACTACTCCAAGGTGGGGAAGCAATGGGAGATGGCAAGAGATTGGCCCAAGGTTGTCTAGAAAGTGCATAGTGGGGAAAAGCACTTAAATTCCCAAAATCAGGACTGCAGCTGCTCCCTTCCTGATATGTTTTTTCCCCCAGCATAAGCATAGCACAGAGTGACTCTGCCTGGCTCTGGTCCCCCTGTAATACCTTTGTCTGAAGGGAAACCGTCTCATTGGCCTTATAAGTGTCCCTTAGAAATAGTTGACACCAAACTAAGGGCAGAAAAGCCTCAGTGCCAGAGCAGCCACGAGATGACTGCACCAGGAAATGAAATGTATAGAGCACAAAAGTGTTTAGGAAGTCTTTTAATATGGCACAAAGGAAGAAGAAAGACATCCAAAGAGTTAGGAAAGGCAACACCATTCCTTGTTAATGAAGAGAGAAGGTAAGCAAATACTGGCCACACACGGCATTAGTAGCACCAGTTAACACTCTTAAGTCCAGTGATGCTCCTTGGTGCAAGAGATTTGTTGTCCATTGAGAAATTAATTAATTTACCTTTAATTCATGAACTCCAGAAAGACTTGAAAAGGGAGGGAGCTGAGTCCTGGAACCTGATTATCCCCTCTGTGGTGAGGAGCAGTTACTGCTTCTCCACTGCCCAAATCATGACTAAGGGGCCATTAACTCCTATTTCTGCCCTGAAGGCTCAGGGAGGAAGAGCTCATCACATCTCATTGCTCATCTTGATCCCAGGCTTCGATTTAAACACACTTTGATCAAATCAGCTTCATTAGTTTAGCTTGGGGGGTATGTGTTGGTGTTTTTGTTTTGGGTTTTTTCCCTTTTTTTCCCTAATTCCATTAAAATCACATGGCTCCTCCCATGTGCTGCTTTGACAGATGCTGCTCACTGGTACCCTAAATCAAAGGTAAATCTTACAGGTGGGCAATCCCCGGGAAATGAACATGCACTGACTCTGCTGTGAACTGAAAGTGCTTAAACTGCATGCCTTTATGGGGAAAATTAATTGTATGGATAATTCCCCCTTCTATTTCTATGTGTGGTATCCATGCTGTTTCAATTTCTGCGTGACAAAATGTATTATTGATAGGAACCAGACCTGTGGCTGCTTTAGTACTTAGATATCTAAATACTTGCCTGCAAGTACCATCTATCACTAAAGCGAAAAACCATGTCACTCGCAATGTCCTTTGGGAAGGAGAAAACCACAATTCTTTCAAGGTTTGCCAGTTACTTTACAAGTTAAGCCTGTCAGTTTAGCACTAAATCTTAGACTTAAAATGGTAAAATGAGGAACAAAAAAAAAAAAAGAAAAAGAAATAAAATAAGAAAGGTCCTTGCTTCAAAACTGGAAAACTGAGTTTGTCTGAGATATTTGATGCTTGCATTTGGGACTCGTGATGATTGATTCATGCATTTGGGAACTGTGTGTGCTGACAGACCTGAGCGTCCTGCCTTCGCTTTGGGAGCATGGATTAGCTCTACCCTAAACAGGTTGAAAAGAAGAGATAGGTGAGCAAACAAGGGCACTCTCCAGCTTGCCATCACCTCTCAACTGTGAGCAACGGGCTTTGCAAGCAGCCAGCCTTCATCTCCATCAGGGAGGTGAGGGTTTCCCTACCCTCTATGCAGCCACATGCAGAGACGCAGAGATCACAGAATCAGCCAGGTTGGAAAAGCCCTTTAAACTCATCCAGTCCAACCACTCCCCAGCCCTGCCAAGGCCACCACTAACCCATGGCACTGAGGCCTCGTCTCCACTGTGTGTGAGCACTTGCAGGGACGGTGACTCCAGCCCTGCCCTGGGCAGCCTGTTCCAATGCCTGAGCACCCTCTGGGGAAGGAATTGTTCCTCAGCCCCATCTAAACCTGCCCTGGTGCAGCTTGAGGCCGTTTCCTCTTGTCCCATCCCTTGTTCCTTGGGAGCAGAGCCCAGCCCCTCCTGGCTCCATCCTCCTGTCAGGCAGTTGTAGGGAGCGATAAGGTCCCCCCTGAGCCTTCTCTTCTCCAGACTGAACCCCCAGGTCCCTCAGCCATTCCCTATCACACTTGTGCTCCAGGCCCTGCACCAGCTCCACTGCCCTTCTCTGGCCCCGCTCCAGCACCTCAGTGTCTCTCTTGTAGTGAGGGGCCCAGAGCTGAACACAGGATTGGAGGTGCAGCCTCACCAGTGCTGACAGATGGCTGGAACTACTTGCAGTCACCCAAGCCATCAAGTTAAGACCAAACCTCTTCTTGACCAATGCTGAAGAAGGGCTGGACAAAAGCGTTTCAGGGTATAAAAGCTGGGTTAATGGGGATCAAGAGAGTTGTCATCTGGCTGCTGAAGAGATCCAGAGCATCTCTCTCACAGCACCCAGGAATTTTAATGTTCTTGGGTGTGCATGAGTCACAGAGCAATTTGCTGTTCATGCAGCTTGGCTGTGCTTTCATCTGCTTGTTTTGAAATCAGGAGGTTTGCAGCAGGATGAATTTAATGGGACTCTTTTTCCACCCTCCTGCTTGTCCCATCAGGACCCTGGGCAGTGAGAAACAGAAGGGGGAAGAATGAAGCACCAATGCCATCTGTGGTGCTGGCCTGCAAGCGGCAGGATGTGCCTATCTGCCCCTGGCAGCTCATCACTGCATCTGCCTTTTAACCTCACACTGGAGCGCTGGGGGTGGTACCAGGCACTTTGCAAACATCTGGAAAACAACCACGCTGTAAATTTGCTGGACACAAACTCATCACTTTGGCCCTTCCTGTGTGGTTATCCCACGGTAAGCTAGCTGCTGGCATTGCTCTCCCCGTGCCAGGCATGTTTAGGACCATAAATCACAGGACCACACTCACTTGGTTGGGACAGAGCATCACTGGTGCCACTGGTCACCATGTGAAGAAGCATGCTCAGCATTACCTTTGTCCTTTTCCTTTGCAAACACATTAGCATACATAACTTAAAAGATTATCTAGACCTTAAAAGATGCAGTTAGAAGTTCCATCAACAGACTACGTTGACAGAGTGGCTCAAGAACCTTCTCAGAACAAGCAATCTAGATCTCTCATCTTGGATATTTGCTGGAACAAGAAGAGGATCAAGCTGGGAAAAGGAAAAGGCTTTATTTACACTGTTGCCTATCAGGAGGGAGACCACAGAGTCTATGTTTGAAGGCAGAGAGTAAAAAAATGCCCATTCACAACGTGTAATGAAAACCATCTTCTTCTGCTCTCCCACCCTGCCCCTGAGACAGTGTTCACAGAGCTGTCACTTTTCAGTTTCCTTTGTTTGGGTTTACTGGAGAGCAGAAAACTCCATCATTTCATCAATAAAATAGCAGAACCCCACTAAGCCTGATGAAACAGGAATCAAAATGAGAGGAGTGGAAGAAAAGAAGGGATTGTTTCCCAGGGAAGGTCTAATACCGTTTTAGCTGCTGTTTCTAACAGAGAATAAGTCCCATTTATTTTATTACTCTGAGGGTTCTAATTGTCATCAGACCTTAATTGCATCTTGGCTTGCTTTGCAAAGCAAAACAAGCAGCAGCCTATGCTGGCCATTGGATGCAATCATCTGCTCTTTTGATATGCATGTGTTTGTCTATTTTTTCCTTTCATCTTTATATATAAACTGTAAAGTAGAAGCTGCTGTGATCCTACCGCACCTGACAGCTTTACAGCCCCTGTTTAAGGGCTGGGGCTCCTGCGACTGAGCCGACAGTGCTGCAGGGGGCTGTGGCTGAAGCTTTCTGAACCAGATACAGCCTTATGAGCTCTTGTTTTACTTCTCCTGCCACCCCTTTTGTCTTGGTGCCATGTTCAGCAGGTGTTTATCTTCCTTTCATAGCAGATCCTTTTGAAAAGACATCAAAAAGCTTCATTAGGCACAAGAAAAGGGACATTTGCTTAAGCTATATTCATTCCCTTATTACCATATATTATCTTCCATCACTAATGAACAGAAGTGGCCATAAGGGCTGTATTCTTAAAAGCTTAACTGCTTTCAATCAAGTTGCAGAATTGTAGCCAGATGAAACTCTTCTGCTTGGGCTTGAGCACAAGTTGATTTCAGGGGAGCAAAGCGAGTGGCAGCCCAGAGCACATGCAAGCAGCATCTTCCTTTTTGTGTCATTTAAACTCAACAAGGGCCTTCTCAACCAAGGTGTAAAGGACGAGTGCTGGGAGGCAGAGCAGACTGAACTCCCATCAGCCTTGGAAACAGGATGCTGCTGGTCCAAGGTAGCATCCAGCATTAGCTGCCCAGGAAGGTGCTTAAGGGCTGAAGCCTTTTTCCCCCAATAATCAGTGCAAGCATCAGTGACAAAAAATGGGAAATTTTGGGGAGATTTTCACAGAATCACAGAATCCCAGCCTGGTTTGGCTTGGAAGTGAGCTTAAAGCTCATCCAGCTCCAACCCCTGCCACGGGCAGGGACAACTTCCACTAGAGCAGGGTGCTCCAAGCCCCTGTGTCCAGCCTGGCCTTGAACACTGCCAGCGATGGGGCAGCCACAGCTTCTCTGGGCACCCTGTGCCAGCGCCTCAGCACCCTCACAGGGAAGAACTTCTGCCTTATACCTAGCCTGAACTTTCCCTGTTTCAGTTTGAACCCATCACCCCTTTTACTTTACCTTTAAGCTCTCCATGGGACTGATTCACTTCCTGGCTTTCCATGCTGCAGAGGTTCAGCAGTGCCTTGGCTGCTCCTTCATGCACCTCCTTATACAGTGGCTTTGTGTCAGTACATCCCCTTCCCTATGCTGCAAGCACAAGTTCAGACGGAAAGGGTCGATTTCTGGGGCTGTGGGTTAGCTTTCTAGTGCTGCATGAATGCTGGGGACAATTTGTATTTGTATAAATAGATGTTCTGTCTCCTTGGGTTGTTGGGGGTATGAGGTTTAGCACATTCATTACTCGCAGCATTTTAGGTCTGAAAAGAAACAGAGAAATAATAATCAGACAGTTCTTAATAGTATCCAGGGGATGGAAAACAACTTCCTCTCACCCCACAAAGCAACAGTGATTCAAAACATGAGGGCTGAGTGAGGACAGTCATAGCATTTCAAGAGCAATACCAGTAGCAATGTCTACAGCCCTGTGGCTAAAGCAGCAGTGAAAAAAGGCCTGGGACCAGCTGTACTGTTGAAAATACAGACGCATTCAGGAAGACCATTGCCACAACAGCACTATCAGCTTCACTCTGAGATGGAATCTGTTCAGCACCCCAATTATCCTGGCCCTCAACTAATCCTGATGAATGAAATAGATTTCATATTGCCTTGGATGCATCTTATATCTGAAAAGGGTTCACTTCACACTTTTAAACGTGTGCTTCAGTCCTCCCTGAAGAGGTGACACATAGAAACATCATGCAGAATCACCAGGGATGCAAACGCAGATGAAAGCAAAGCTGATCCCTTACTGATTTTAATGCAATATACATCAGTATAGACAAGATAGACAATATAGGTCTTGCAGTAAGTCCAAGTGCTGTGGGGGCACAGAGGGATTCCCTGAGATGTCAGGAGACCAGCAAAGTCCCTTCTTGGTACCTAGGAAAGGATACCTCTGCTGGAAAGAGGATGGGGGTGCAAAGAATGTAGGGTCTCCTGCCTCAAGTCCAGTTTTATCCCCAGCCCTGCATGCTATAGGCAGCCAAGATGAGACAGGAGGGGCTCAGGCTGGGAGAATCTGCTGGTTGCAAGATTTCACTTTGCCTGTTGCAGTGGCATAGGGCAAGCTAGCTATGTGTGGGCTGCATGTTGGGCTGTGTCATTCCTCAAGGCATCGCAACCTTCCTGATTGCATGACTTCATCTCAGCGCTGAAATCCGCTCAATTTATGGGGATTTTCATGCAGCTGGATCTCATACAGGGTTTCTTTTGTATTTATTTCACATTTTTACATGACTTTTTGCATGACTTTCCTAAATGAGTGACTTTCATAATGTAATACTTTCTGTTTTTGCGATGTGTCCAAGTAATCGTGGGTGAAACGCTCATCTCTGGAATAAAGGGAACCAAATGCTGCCCACATCACGCAGTGGGCAAAGTCTCTGCAGCACGTCTGGGAACATTCCTTTGTCAGGGACCAAGCAGGCTTTTCAGACACACTCGGTGGGCCAGCCACTGTAATGGCAACACACAGGCTCAACAGTAATGTGATAGGGGGCTTGTGGTAAGATTTGGGCTGCTTTCCTGCTGCATTTTCTCACTCCCAACCTGCTAGCAGTTTGGCATCTCACACACTATCACTGAATGGGGATTCTTGTCCTTGGCTACACTCTGGGCATGTCTGCTGGGTGTGCTGGGCACGGCTGGAGAACATGGCCTGGCTAAGTCCAGATGGAGAGGTATCTCAGCAAGTTGGGGGGAGAAGTGGATCTTTACATTGTTATTTGGCTACACAGGGTGTTGGGCATCTACTCTAGGTCATACTGTGCCATGAATGACTGGATGAGGTGATCCTTGAGGTCCCTTCCAACTGGGGTTCTATGATCCCTAAGGACAATGCCTGATCGTTACAACACGACATGTAGCAGAAGGTGCAACAGGTCCTGCAAACATACCCATAAAGGAAGATATTTGCCATATACAGATACTTGGATGTTTTCTGTTCCTAAAAAAGGCAGGAGTAATGCTGCGCATTTCTGAATGCCATCTTTAGGATCTTCCTCCCTTAATTACTCTTCCTGTCTCTACTGACAGGTCTCTCCTGGGCCATCAATCCCTGTGCAGCAGTTAGCATTTGCAAGTGCTAGGCCTGTTGTCCACAAATAAGTTTTTAAACTTCTTTTTGTAAGTTTTAATTTTACTGAGCTGTAAAGCCATCTAATTGCAAATCTCTCCATGTGGACAAAATTAGCTTGTCAACCAGGAACCGTCACTGTTAGCTGAGTGGGAGATTTGCATGGATAGCTCTCATTAGAGCTAATGCAAGTCACATGTGACAAGAGAGTAGACTTCAGAAGAGCTGAGTTAAAGAGCATGTGCAGTGAAAAAGAAGTGGGAAACTTGGGTGAAGACTGGGACTGGATGATCTATAGATTAAAGAAAGCTGTTCTAATGGCTGCCCCACAGCTTCTAGGATATGGAAGAGGAACTCAACAGAATAATAAACTTTCAATGTGGCCCTTCCTCCTCCCTTCTGGTCAACAGATAACCATTATCTGCCACCTGTAGTTGGCGATACCTTGAAGCTTAAGTCAAGGTGGCAGAAGGTGTACAAACACAACAATGGGTTCCAGCCCCAGGGCATTCATAGTCCAAGACATGTGGAAAGAAACATGGAGGAGGAAGGGTGGTAAAGAGATAACAATGACCATCAAAACCCAACAGGTAACAAACCCAGTTATTAGCAGCAGTTGTGTTAATTGCACTTAGATTGCACTTATCATGCCAAGGACCTATTTTCAGAGGAGAATCTGGAGAAGTCCAGCAAGCTGAATCACTGCAGAGCTACCCAATGCTGCAAGAAGATTCTGAGATGTCCTCTTTGCCCTCTGCAAAGTTTAGACTGGGTAGAATTAGTGACTTTTAGCCTTTCATTCCAGATTTCCAAGCCTTCACTCTCGCCATCGTAGGGGCAGCTGCTACCAGGTATCTATCAGGCTCAACAACATAGCCAGACTTGCATGCAACATCTGTACATCTAGGGCACTCTAGCACAATGGTCTAATACAGGTAGCATCCCCAGAGACCCACTTACCCACGGTATCAGATCCAAATACAAGCAGGACCACGAGCCACAAGCACCCTGAACTGCACCCTGTCCTCCTCAGCACAGCTGAAGAAAACCAGGACACTCCTGGCTGCACATGATAGTGAGAAAAATCACAGGGAAGCCACAGCTCCAATGGGGATCCATGTTCTTGGGAGCTGTCCAGACATGGAGCAAGAGTACTGTGAAGAGGCAAAGAGCTTCAGTTTAAGATAATAGCCAAAGTATTCCAATTATTCCATAGGGAGTGAAAGCAGGCACATGAGGAGTGGTATGGAAAATCCCTCTCTGACTTGCCTGCAGTCACACAAGAAGGCAGGAGCAAAGCAGAGACTTGCTTTCCTCTTCATACCACTTTTTGACTGTGAAGTGTCATTCTCCTGAGGAGCCCACTTGGTTCCTCACAGAGTCAAGCAGGGATGACACCCATGGCTCTCCCTTTGGTACATTGGAAAGCTTTAGGTCAAGACACAAGCTGCTGGAGAATGTTTTGAGCAGGAGCCCTCACTGGCTCCAGTTTAGGAAAGAGAGGAATGACTGTAGCATGAACACCCTGCCTGACACTATCCTGAGCCGCATGCTTGTCCTCCAGGCACAGCTAGTGGTCCCCCACCTCTGTTCCTGCCCATTCTTCCTTTCTGAGAACTGCAGCGCCTGTTCTCTTGCCACTGCTCTAACAAGTTTCTCTTATCAGAGGTGAAGAAGCCTCAAGACAAACTCAGAGTTCCTCTGTCCTGCTTTTGGCTTTGAGTCTGACCGACAAAAAGAGAAATGCTGTCCTTCTCATGACTCCTTGGCCAATACCATTCAAGTCTTGCCTGCTGACCCAACGCTTTTCACTCTCCCAGACGCTGACTACTGCTTTTTCCTGTGCCTTGGTTTATTCTCAGCCACGTCACTTGAAAGGATGAGCAAAGCTGAACATCCTCTACTGTTTTCTTTCAAGTACTTTCTCCAGTCACCTCTCTGGGTCTTGCCTCAAGTCAGAGCAAAAGGTAACCAAAATGACTTTTGCTGCTGGCATACACAGGGGTTCCTAAACTGTGACCACTTCCACAAAGTTCGAGGTTAAAACCTTTGTGAATGCGTTCAAAGCATCTTTTCTTCCCTAAAATAATTGTAACTTCTGAGGAAAAGGAGACTGCTGCCGGCCCATTACCATAAATATTTTTCCCTGGGCAGATGCCTTTTTCCCCAAGGAGACCACGAAGCAGAACTGTGGTGGAAAACCAGCACGTTGACAGTGTAATTAATTAATCCTGTCCTAGAACAAATTCTTGGTACATGCTGTGGTGAGCCAGCTAAGCATGTTTGTCTACAGGGGAAACAATTAAAACCAAAATTGCAAAACATGTTCTCTTGCAAAACCCTTGCCCAAGAACCCCAAACCTGCAATAGGCTTTGGCTCACACCACAAGAAAAGGTACCGCTGGCTTTATCTTCCACCCAGCACTTCCCTCAGTGCCAAGGGTTTTCAAACCTCACAGCAATATGCTTCAGATGTCACCCAGACCCACTGCAGGTTGGGGGGGATGTGGAGGGGAGGCAGGGAAGTGAAGCAATTGTGCCAGCAGATGCCTAAATGCCATTTTCTCTGCGCACCTCAGCCACAGTCAGATTTCATCCCTGGGGGAGGGCTCCCTCTGACAGCTTCTCCAGCTGTTTGTATCCAAGTTCCCCAGTGAAGTAACCAGGTGTCCTACCAGAGTGCTCACACATGCACTGTCAGCTACTGGGATGTTAAAGAATGGGTATAAACCTAAACTGAGAGAGCAAGCATCAGTCCATCAGGTGCTATCTACCCCATTGCTAGGGGAAAACAGCTTCAGCATGTGCCACAAACATGAAGCTGCCTGTTCCCAAGCTCTCACAGAGCCTGTACTAAGTGCCTTCCCCCCACACTCCTCCTTTCAACTGCCACAAAAAAAGGAGGATGTACCTGGTTTTATTCACTTTAACATGCCTGAGTGCATGCTGACAGTTGCTGTTGCCATTGGAAGGGACTGGCAGAGCTGGGGCTGCAAGGTGAGAATTGTGAAGGAGTAAAACTGGAACCATATGGATGAAGCATGAGAAAAACGGGGGGTAAGTTTCATGGCTATTCAAGAGTGACCCTTAGCTCCTGCCTTCATTTCTCACAGTCCTGATGTGCTCCAAATCACCTTTCAAGCATAATTTTCCTTCCCTTTGCACAAGATCACTGTTCACTTT